GAGGAGAGAGAGGGCTTAGAAGTGACAGCGCCCAGCCAGAGGGATCCCTCTCAGCTGTCTTGGGCAAATGCACCATAGTGCTCCACTCCCTGCCCCACCGGCTCCACTCCCTCCAGGGACAAGGCTCTTGAGACCAACCTGATTTTAAAGTCCAGGTCCTTGGCCACCCTGAGACCTGGATTCAGGAGCCAAGCCAAGTGCCAACCTAAGCATAAATTTCTTGGAGACACATCTCCAAACGCAGGTGTGCCCGGGTCACTGAAGGGTGTGCACACGCCTGGGTGGCTCCATTGGTTGTCTGCCCTGACCAGCGGTTTAATCATTATGGGATCCAAGTTCCTGGGGGCCTGACATTGAGGCAAATCAGAAGCTCAAGGAAATGGCTGTGAATCTTAAGAGCTTTGCTTCAGAGGCCAGTAGGGACATCAGGACCAGCCAAGCGGACTGGGCTAGGGATGCCAGGTGCTGCAGGCATCACTCACTTCGGGCTTCGTGATGAAACCCAGCGCACTGAGTACACCATGTGCAAACAGCTGGCATAGGTCCGCCCTTTAAGGGGTGTGGGGTGTAGGGTGCTGTTCTCTCCCAAGCACGCTCACAGCTCACCTCCGATCCAGCCAGCTGCAAAGTCTTCTAGCTGGAAGGTGCCCATGGCCAATTCAATGTGTGCCTCGCACTCCCGCAGCCTGGGCTACGTCCGTCCTGTCCGTTCAGTATTCAGTGCGTGTCAGGCATGGCCCGGGTCCACACACACTCAGGCGGCTCTATAACCCTGCAGGTTCTTCTCCAAAATCAGTGTTTCAGCCACCAGCGCTTGAGCAGTCAGTGAATGAGGGCGGTGGCTGACAACCCGCCCCCAGAGAATCTTAAAGGCACAGCACTCACGAGGTGTGAGCCAGGAGGCTGCCCCAGTCACCAGGGGAATTCCCCTGGTACTTCTCACCACCACCCTTGCTGGCTCTTCCCAACAACACAGCCTCAGGGGCCTTCCAGGTGAAAGTGGCAGCCAGAGGCACCAGTATCTGTTTAGAACACATTTGCAAAGTTGCTCAGAAGAGGGAAGGCGGGAGGGAGGCTTTACAAACACCAAAAGCTGCCTGCAGAGGCCTCACCTGGCAAGTGTCCCAGCTGTGCTGAAGGGCAAACAGCCCTGCAACAACAACTCAGGTTTGGGTGATGGGCTCACTCGAGGGAACAAGCACTTGCTGCTCACGCAGGGGACCTAAATTTGGGTTCCAGGACCCACATAAACGCCTGGCATAGTTACGTGCCTGGACCGTTAGGGTTGGGGGATAGGGGTCCCAGAGACAGGAGGATTGCTGGGGCTTGCTTGACAGCCAGCCTTGTGGAAAGCAGAGGAGGACAACTGAGGTCCTCTTCTCATCAACACACACATGCACACACATGCACACACATGCATGCATGCACACAAACTGTAATTGAACAGCATCTACAAACCAGAAATTCTTAATGCTTTGTTAGACTGGTTAAAATCCATGGACCAGTTCACCGTATGATGGAGTACACACAATTCTCCAAGCCAGTCCTCCAGTTAAGAGACTGCCCCTCCTCCTCTATGTCACATACTGTCCACATGGCCTGGCTTAAGAGCCTCATCTCCTCCTCCCGGCCACACACTGCCTGCATGCCCTGGGTTGAGAGTCCCATATATCAGTGAGTAATTGAATAAGGCATGGGAGGCACCTCACCCAGAAATCAGCCTCAAGCCAGTTGAATAAGTCCAAGGTTATCCTACATTTAACTGAAGCCCCCTCCTGAGACCTTGGCAAGTCTGGGGACCCTACTTCACGGGCCAGGAAAGCCATGTATGTTTAAAGTATAAAGTGTGTATATACTTCTGTGTATAATTCACACAGAAATGGTAGTCCTTCAGCAAAGTAACCAAAGCAGGGCATGAACATGGCCAGAATCCAGTCAGAGAACAGATTCCAAATTATTCCCCTGAGGCTGTCTTCCACAGGGGAGAGCCCAGGAAAACCCTACTCAGAAGGGAAAGTCTTACAGCCTACTCTGATGTGGGCACACAGTCCCCTCCTATGGACAGGTCTGGCCTGACTGGGATAAGAGCCTCCTCACTGTGAAGGGAACAAATGTTTCCAGCAGGCAGGCTGCAGTAAGCACGGGAAACCGCTCCAAGCCACAGATGCTCTCTCAGCTTTTGTGTAGGTAGAAGGCAGTAGTCTCAACACAGCCCAGACATTTACCCAATAGCCCAAGAGGTGTCAGTCAAATCCAGATATGGATGGTAAAAGATGACTTAAGAAACAGAAGATAATTTTGGCTTTCAATCTGCAACATCCCACCTCTCCACGGTCTCAACATTCTGTGGATCAGTCAGTAGCCCTGCACAGCCTTCTATATAAGTGAAGCTTCAGGGAGAGTCACAGCACAGCAGGAGAGCTCAGCTCACCCTGGCCAGCCGTCAGAATAGCGTCAGAATAGCGAGAACAAGGCTGGAGACTCCCTCCAGAACCTGCCTGGAGCTAAGGAGATAGAGCAGGGAGCACTCACCCTTCTAAGCAGCTGCCAGAACCTAAGCCACAGATTCCCCTCTCCCCTCTGCTCAGCCAGAACTCTGGGAAGACACTTGCTCTGTGCTCTTGAGGGCAGAAGATTTTATGTACACACTTGGCAGTTCGAGTCAACCAAACACTAATCCGTTTGGGCGTGGCCACAGGTGTGTACAGGGTGTGTGGGATTTAGGCCTGAGGGGAAGACAGGCTCACTGTTCCGGTCGGGGCCTCGGAGGGCAGCTGAGATTGGATGCTCGGAGCACTGACCCTGGGTTATCGGTTTCTCATGAAAGTGATTTCTCCCAATAACATCCCTATCCCGTGTGCGGTAATTTTACTCCAACACCTGCCGGATGGCTTCAGTCTTCTGATCCATCCAACAAACGAGACTGTCTCAGGTCAACTCTGACATTACATGCAGGGGCTTTGGTTTCTTGGGCAAAGCCCCAACGGGTACCCATCACTGTGTACATCTTCAAGCAAGGATGCAGGAGCTGAGGCACAGCGGGAGTAAACACGGTCCTACCGAGCCGCGGGTATTATCCCACAGCTACAAGGTGATGGCACAGTTCTAGGGTCAAACTACAGAGGCCACCTGTCTTTTTTAGCATCTTTCTTCAGCACTTGTTCTGTCCCTCACATCTAGCCCCTCCTCCCCAGCCAGAGATGGCACTTGGCAGGTGCTAGCATTGTCCTGTGCTGGCTTGACAGTGTGATTCCAATCAACCGTGGCCCTTCCTCTAGCCATGTCTTCTCAGAGCCCCATGCTCAGAGCACCTGATGGCCCAAAGTCTCTCTCTCGGGTATAGGTGGGAGTGTGGTGGTGGTGGGGTTCCCCACAGGTGCTGCCTAAACCTACACTGCCCCAGTCAAAAGGCAAAGGTGGCCATCTCTCCCCTAGATCCCTCTGTACACACCCAGCCAAGTCCCCAGCTGCTGTCCAGGGACATCTAGAGTGGCCACACGAGGTACCTTTGTAAATGGAGGTTTCTCTCCTGGTTGCCAGTTCCTAAATAAACACTCAGAGGCTTAATATTAATTATAATTATTTGGCCAATGACTCAGGCATATTACTAACTAGCTATCACAATAAAATTAACCCATTTTTACTAATCTGTGTATCACCACGTGCCTGTGGCTTGCTGGTAATGTTCTAGCATCTTACACTTTCAGCAACTACAAGGCATCTCCCTGGCTCAGCCTTTTTTGTCTCTGTATCTCTGTTTGGATTTCCTGCCTATCTACATTCTGCCCTGCCATAGGCCAAAACAGCTTTATTCACCCACTGATAAAAGCAACATATATTCCCAGCCTACAGAAGGACCTCCCACATCACCCCTTTGTCCCATTCAGAGTGTCCTGCCTTCCCCTGCCTCTGAGGAAGGTGACCCTGTGCTCAGCAGTGCCCAACTAGCTTCCAGCACGGGTGCAGCTCTGGGTCCCAGACACAGTGCTCAGGGATGATAGGAGTGAGCAGTGGCTGTGACCTAGAGGAAGTCCCTCTGCTTGGCCTGCTCTTGTCCCACTGGCACTTTGGGATCAATGTGTGGGAGCAACTGGTCAGGCTTCCTTCTCCCAAGGCAAGCATCTGACCACTGGCACCTGCTACAGGTGGAGGGAGGCTCAGCGGCGGGTGGGTCCCCCTGCAGCCTTGCCCTCTTCCTCCATGCTGTGAGCACAGACTGCTTTTTAATTGCAGGGCCAACGCCACCCCTCTGAGGGAAGAGGATGGGATGACCCTTGAGCACAGGCCGCTGGTGGCGGGTGGTGCGGTGGGGTCTTGCAAAGCCATGGAGAGGTGAGAAGTCACAGCCTGTGACTGAACCCACTCCGTATGCACATGGTGATCCACTCAGCCTCGCTCGGGGCTACAGCACTAGTCCCTGAGCTATGCTCCACTATGCCTGTGAAAGGTCCCTGAAGAGTGGTCCTTTGATGGGTCTACTGTTGGAGAGCATCCAGTGTGAAGCCAGCCAGTTCCCAAGGCCACTCTTGTGGGACCACTAAGCACTTCCAGGCAGGCTGCCAGCTCTTCAGCCCCGCATCAGCACCGTTAGGGTGGTCTTGAGTTGGCAGGCAGCGCCGCTGGCAGGCAGGATGGCCTCCCTGGTCCAGGGCACTGCTGCTCGATGGCAACGAGCCTGGGATGTGTGGAAGCCCTCACATTCCCGATGGTATTCTGCAACTCTAACCCTGAAGCACATCCCAAGGAGGGCATGGAGAACCCTGTGTAGTGGCAGCAGCTTGGAGCAGGCCTTCAGAGTCCTGAGCCCTGGGGAGTGGGGCCCAGCAGAACACTGGTTGCAGAAAAGCAACCTCAGTTTTCACACACCCCTGGATTTCCCTCTTGGGGAAGCATTGCTGCTGCTGCTGCTGCTGCTGTCTGAATCTACACTGTCCTCTGGGCTGAGATGCAAATAACCAGGGCTCAGAGTCAGCCTCTCAGAGAGAGTGGCTACCTGGGTTGCCACGGCAACAGAGAAACCCGTTCTGTTTCTCCCTTTCCACCCAGGGAGCGCTTGCAGCATTGCCTGTGGGGTAGGAGCACATGGGTAGGATGGGAGTGGGTGCTGGAATCCTTGGATAGTGAGGTCCATTTCCTGTTTCTCACTGGCTCTTTCAAGGGCAACGGAAGCTCCTGGTACTGAGTATATGCACGTCTGCTTCCAAGAAAGCCGCCAAAGAAGAGACCATTGGCCAGGAATGCGACTTGGGCACCACTGGGAAAGCACTGAGCGAGGCTGTGTTTCCACAGACAGGGAAGGTTCCACAGCCTGGAGTCTCCTGACGGGGCTGCGAATCTCCTCAGGCAGGGCCCCTGCTCTCCAGCGCTCTTCTCAGTGAAGGACTCAGTCCCTACCTGTGCCCACACCTACAACACCTACACCTGTGCCCACACCTACACCACCTACACCT